TTGATGAGCTAAAGAAGACCCAGAGGAAGTGTAATTGTGTCTTGTTGTGGAGTTGAAAATATACATCAAACTGAGCTTCATATTTGAGAATTTTCTCATTATTCCAAGGTAACCTCGCTGCTCTGACACAGAATGACTACTTCTAATGGCCCCAACCCATGAGGTCTAGCCAGCCTGGTGGCAGTGTTTTGGGCCACTGTCTCTTAGCCCATTGGCCATTTTTTTACTGCACATCTCTTCTGAGCAACAGGAATAGAGGTAGGTTGAATCTTTAGGAAACCAAAGGTGAGGGAGGTCTCTAAGCTCTTCTCACTAAGCCACTAATTTTGCAGACATGGACACTGAGGCATAAAGAAGGTTACAACAACATGGTCAAGGTCATTAGGGCTAGAAATAGAATGAAGACAATTTTTGAGGCTTCATATATACTTCTACTGTTACGTGCATGCTACTGCATTTACGTTGTTTCCCTAAAATCCTGAAACTTCAATTCTAACAATAATAGATGGAGAGTTTCCTAAGAAAAAGGTTTATGTGAATTACTCTGAATGCCCTGGCCTAGAACAGTGATTATTTGACTCCCTACAGATATACACCAATAAAATAAAAAGTCAATCCCTGCAACAATCCTACCTCGATCATAGAAGGCTGGATTCATTTATTTTTTATTCATTTAATTCAAAATATTCATAAGTGCTTCCTATGTCTCATCTACTCCAGAAAATAATATGGATACAAAACACAGACATGGACCCTGCCCTCACAAAGACGTTAATCACAGCACTTAACTACTCATTTTGATAATTATAGTTTACGTGTTCATCCTCTCTTAGACTTCAAATTCCACGACAGCAAGATCTGTGCCTTGTCTATCACTGAATCTTTAGGGCCTGTCATAATATCCAGCTCATAACAACACTCGATTTTTTAAAAGTAAACATGAATCATTTTTGTATCTTTTCCCACATAACACATTGTAAGGAAGAACAATCTTCAGCATTTTCCATATTTAGGGATATTTTCAGGACTACAGCAACAGCTATTATATACCATTTTGAGCACTTACCATATAACACTCTGCAGTATTTTACATTATCTCATGTGTTATTTATTTTTTCTTTTCATTCAGGATATAATAAACAAATGGAATGCAATCAAATTAGAAAGCTTCTGCACAGCCAAGGAAACTATCATTAGAGCAAATAGAATAGAATAGTTTGTCTGTATAGACAAACTACAGAATGGGAGAAAATATTTGCTTTCTACACATCCGAGAAAGGGCTGATAACAAGAATATATAGAGAACTTAAGAAAATCAGCAAGAAAAAAACCAAACAACCCCATCAATAAATGAGCAAAGGACATTATCATTAGAGCAAATAGAATAGAATAGTTTGTCT